AGTCCTGCTGGATCAGACCAGTGGTCCATCTAGTCCAGCATCCTGTCCCACTCGATGGCCAACACTTCTTCTGGAGGTCCAACAACAGGACACCGAGGCAGAGACCTTCCTCAGATGTTGCCTCCTGGTACTCAGATGTTTCCTGCTTCTGAACATGGAGGCTCCCCTTTAGTCACCATGGCTAGTAGCCACTGATAGAGCTATCCTCCATGAAGCTGCCTAATCTCCTTTTAAAACTGTGTGTAAGAACATATCCTTTGACTTTTTTAGATGTCACACATAACATACAGGGAGAAAGCAGGATATGATGTGGTGACAGGAGCCATGTTACATGTCATAGGACAGCAGAAGCAGGCAAACAAACTCTAGCCTATTACTCAAGATCAAGATTGGGTACTGAGAATAGATGAAGTCAAGCCAATCTCAAAGTGTTCTAGGACAAGGGACATCTCAATATAAATCAATCACAAGATAAAGAAAATTGTAGAAACTAAATGTGTGGAAATAATAACCTCAGAGGAGAAACATACTGTAAATCTGAACTATCCAGAATTCTTAGCAAACTGCAGAATATCTTATTAGTCAATTATAGCACATTTTTGTCTCTCCAGTACAATTTGATGCAACGCTGGGCTATTTTAGTTTATTGTAAGTTGACTGGATCAGTATAGAAAAGAGGTAAAATATATGTTGTAAATTAATAAAAATAAATCTACATGCTGAAGTAGTAGCACCTTTGACAAGACAGACTGAAGCAGATTGTTGAGTAATGAAAGATACCAAAGGGCCGGTAGACTTCTGGCCATGCTTTCAACTTTCGACATTGCCTATGTCTTATAGCAACACTCAGCTGAGACCCCACAAGTTATCATAGCAGAGAACAAAAAAAATAAACACTAACCCTTGTGAGCAGAATGAAAATAAAACAGTCAATCCCAACTTCTTAAGAAATTTGTAATTAACATAAGAACATAAGTGACGCCAATGTTGGATCAGGCCAAAGGCCCATCCAGCCCAACACTCTGTGTCACACAGTGGCCAGAAATACCAGGAGCCATCAGGAGGTCCACCAGTGGGGCCAGGACATTAGAAGCCCTCCCACTGTTGACCCCCCCAAAGCACCAAGAAGACAGAGCATCACTTGCCCCAGAGCCCCTATCTATACCTTGTGGCTAATAGCCACTGATGGACCTCTGCTCCATATGCTTATCTAAATTGATTTTCTTTAAGCTAAGAAATGGATGTTTCAACATGGCAGTGAACTCCTACAGATGACCCAGGTAAGCTCTCTCAAACTCACATTAAGATAAGTTGATCAGTAACATCATATTGAGTGGTAAAGAGAACTCTACCACATGTTAATAGCCAATGTGTGGTGATTTTACCATAGGTTTGGGTCATTTATGAAACGTTTCCCACTGGAACTCTTAGTAGAAAATATGCATCCATCTGGAGCTTCTAAATTTAGAAAACAAGACAATTAAAGTGGGGATGTAATAGAAATTTATAAAATTATGAATGTGGTTGAGAAAACTGACATAATACCCATAATACTTGAACTTGTGGACACCCAATAAAGTTGATGAGCAATAGATCCTGGACAGAAAAAAAATGAAGTACTTCTTTACAGGATGAGTAACTGGTAAAATTCCCTGCCAGTGGATAAGAACCTAAAAACATAAGAGAAGCCATGTTGGATCAGGCCAATGGCCCATCAACTGTAACACTCTATGCCACAGAGTAGCAAAAACCCAGGTGCCATCAGGAGATCCACCAGTGGGGTCAAAACTTCAGAAGCCCTCCCACTGTTTCCCCCCAAGCACCTAGAATACAGAGCATCACTGCCCCAGACATAGTGTTCCATCTATACCTTGCAGCATGGGCCTCTGCTCCATACGCTTATCCATTCCCCTCTTGAAGCGGCCTATGGTTATAACTGCCGCCACTTCCTCCAGTAGTGAATTCCACATGTTAATTACTCTTTGGGTGAAGAACTACTTCTAAGCCTACTGCTCATTAATTTAATTGACTGCCCACAAGTTCTTGTACTGTGAAAAAGGGGGGAAAGTACTTCTTTCTCTACCTTCTCTATCCCATGCATAATTTTGTAAACCTCTATCACGTCACCTCTCAGTCATCTTTTCTCTAAGCCAAAATGCCCTTATCTTCCCCTTTTAGTAGAACAGTCGACAAAATTCTCTTTTCTTCTGCTTATCCTCATATTTTGGAAACTACTGCTGGATTGAACATCAAACTACCATCAGTAAAGCTTGGCAGGGGTGCTTCCCACAGCAAACCCCCCCCCCACAATTTTGCCTTTTTATTGCAGTTGCACACAGAGTTGACATCTTCACTAAGTTATCTACTATGACTCCAAGATCTGGCCAGTTACCACCAGTTCAGACCATCAACATATATTTATAGTTAGGATTTGGGGCTCCAATGTGCATTACTTCGCACTTGCCCACATTGAACCTTTGCCACATTGACTCCCAGGAGAAGGATGTAGTGATGACCTTTAAATGCCATCTGATTGGATCCATCAGTGCTCTTCTTATGTTCAGCAGGAAAAAAATGCAATTAAAAAAAATCTTGCACAGTTAAAGACAGACAGTATGTACATCCAACATCTCATTCATCATGATTAATTGGGGCTAAGTAGCAGTGCTGTTATTTATCAAGCAATATTTCTTGGAATAGACATATCAATTTGGGAGCTGACTGTAAACTGAACTAGGCCCACCCTTTGAAGGTCTCAGGGACATAAGGAAATTACATCCACACCAAGAATAGCTTTGGCCTCTTTACTGCAATGATTCAATCAGAGAAAATCAGTGACAGCATTTTTAACTGAGCTTCAACATACATTTTTAATTCGCTTAAGCCTCACAGACCAATTCCTCCTCTCCCTCATCTTTAAACCCTACCATTTTCTTTGTGCATTCTCTTTAGTCTTGCAAAACATTACATGCACATATTATATGTGGTTTCACCAACCAGTTCTACAGCTCTGCTGCCTTGTATCTCTGTACCTTAATAAGACGGGCTACATTTTTAGAACAATAAGTTACCACAAATTCCAGATCTTTGTTAGCAGTGTTTACTCACACACAGAATTAGCACAAAGGCGGCATGTATTAATATTCAAAGAAAGCAGTGATTATTGTTTTGCCCATGCACACAACCTGAAAGGGCCGTATCCCTTTCTCCAAACATTTCAGCTCTTCCCTTCATAGGTCATAATAGTTGTCCTCAATAGTGTTTCTAATCAGAAATTGATTTATATCTTTCCAGGCTCTCCCTCTGCTAGGCTCCTGAAATGATGGTTGGCTTAAGAGAGCTAAAAGGAGAGAGGAAGAGGAAGGTTGCCATTTTTATTCAGATAAGGATGAATTGCTGATCCTTGCTTCATCTCAGTGGAAGCCTCTTCACCACATCACTACAAATACACAAAGTGGCTGTATATGGCACCTTTGTGTTACCCTTTCCCAGTATTCTAGAGCACCCATAGCAACATTAAAGGGAACAGAGAAGAAAAGATGGCTTCTGGTCTGCAGGTCCCCAGAAACTCCAAGCCTACGTAGAAAGACAACATTGTTCCAATGAAAACAGCTAGACCTTAACCACATGATGATTTAATAAAACACTGTTTTGAAGCAGCTGGCAATATATATACTTAGCTGCCTGCCTTGGGTGTGTAGAGAATGTAGGTTTTTAAAGCACTGAATAATGTAACTTTAAATAAAACTGTTTTTGCACTAAACACACAAATCTGCAAAACCTCAGTAACAAAGAGCTGAGATGACTGTCATCACTGCGTGTGACTCTGTAGCCGGCCATGAATGCTCAAACCACAATAATAAATAGCTCGCGTTTGCTTGCTCCCGTTTACAGAGCGTATTTATTCCCTTTCACTATCCTCAGATGAGTCAAAGCTTGTGCAAAGCAGCTTTTTAAATGCATGAATGCTGCCTATCAGATACTCTTAAAAAAAAAAAAAGCCTCTTATCTGCCTGCCTAGATCAGTGACAGGGTCAGGCAGCTCAGACCAAAAAACACTTTCACTTCCACAATCGGGAAGCAATCCACTTAGCCGGAGGGACTGCAGTAAGACGAACATCTTGAAAAGGCACCAGAAATACGGAAATCTGTAACTGGGTTACGCTCCCCAGACCCTGGCTTGTCCCTCTGGAGGAGCTCTGGTTAAGCAGGCACATTTTACAACAGCCTCGTTATCCAATGAGAGACGCCAGTGCAGTCTTTATGATCTGGAGAGAGAAACATCCTACGAACTGGGAGGCGAGATATTTGGACGGTGGAGAGAAGGAAAGGGAGAAGGACAGCGGAGGAGAGCCGCTAAGGAAGGAGAAGCGAGGCTGGCCTTTTAAAAAAATGGTATATACTAAATATCGCCTCGAGTTGTCTGTTTTAAGGGAACAAGCTGACCTCAAATTCACCGCTTTCACAACTACGTCTAATCTCCTCTCCCTTTGCTCCCAAGTCAATTTTGGCTAGAAGAAGTGACTGAATCTGCTTTAAGAAGACGCTTCCGCCCCCCCCCCCCCTTCTTCCTCGCAGGGTGTTTTCACTGCCTCCCCCGCAAACGGAGACAGGGAAGAGAAGAAAGGAGTCCCCGCCGATTCCAGCCTTCAGTGGAGAAGCGAAGCTGTCCAGACAGACAGCCATACCACACACACACACACCAGCCCCAACAGCTTAAAATCTCGCAGGCGCAGGCACGCACACACACACACACACACACACCCCTCCTGTGGGCCAGAAGGGTTCGTGTCCCCCACGAGAGAGCTATTTTTGTTTAATGGCCCCATATAGCAGACGGGGGGGGGGGGGGCGGGGTCAGACCCGTCACCCCGCTGCTCGACCTCCCTGCCGCTTCTGCCATCTGCTCGTCCCTCCTGGGCTCCAGCTGCCCCTCTCCTCCCTCCAGCTACAATTTCCAAAGCATCCTCCGTCCCCGGTGGATCCCAGCACTGAGTTACCTTGGAGCCAGCAGAATCCTCCTGCACCGAACTGGGCTTACCCGACCCTGCTGCTGCTGCTGCTGCTGTTGTTGCCGCCGCCTCCCTCTCTCCCACGAAAGCTACCAGCAGCTTCCTGATGAATTTAAAATATTTGGTGCGGGTGGGTGTGTAGTGGGTCCCCACACTCCTTTCTCCTGACGTCAGGATGTAGGGAGTGGGAGAGCCGGGGAAGCAGGTGGGAGGGGTCACGGCGGCAACTTCTGCAGACTTTAAAGAGGCATCGCGGGGGTGGGTCACAAACCCGGGCATCCCCGGAAGCAGCCGCGTAAAATGCCTGCATGCCCTTGGACAGACGAGATCAGTAAGGTGGTGGTACGTTTATACCTAGGCTTTGGGCAATTTTGCCATTTTTACTCCTAGAAGAGATAGCTCAAGGCGTCCAGAGGCAAAGGAGGGCAAGAAGGGATCCTGTCCCTTTAACGACAGTGTGGAAGAAGAGATTGGATTTATACCCCGCCCTTCACTTGGAGTCTCAGAGTGGCTTACAAACTTCCCTTCCCCTCCCCACAACAGACACCCTGTGAGGTGGGTGGGGCTGAGAGAACTCTGACACAAACTGCTCTTTTTCAAGGACAGCTGTGCCAGAGCTTGTGACTGACCCAAGGTCACATCAGCAGGTGCAAGTGGAGGAGTGGGGAATCAAACCCGGTTCTCCCAGATTAGAGTCTGCACACTTAACCACTACACCAAACTTGTCTTGAGGCTTGTCTTGTAGGGGTGAAGGGAGAAAAGCTGGTCCTCCTGAAGTTCCCTCTCCTGCAGAACATACAGAGAGCCCCAATTGTCCTCTGTATGATCTGATCACCCCAGGTGTGTTTACTGAGCAGAAAGTGCAACTGACTTCAGTGGGACTTACTCCCATGTTAGTGTGCCTAGGGACTTCAGTTCTATGTTTCCAACCCTTGTTTCTTACTGGCAATCATGGATATTAACTGGAACCACACATTCATTGCCTCTTTGCTAATAGAAATGGTAAAAGCCACATAACTTACCACAAAAATGTAACTTCAAGAACTTTGCTTACAGGGTTTGCTTCTGGGTTTGCTTCTGGCTAAATGTCAACTTATAGGCTATAGGTGTTCTCCCACCTTGTCTTTTGTTTCCCCTTGGCAAGAAGAAAGCTCTCTCCTCTCACCCCAAGAGCAAAATGTTTTTTAAGCCACCTGTGGTAGTAGTTGGTGGAAGGGGGGGCCACCTTACCTGGAAGGCCCACGCCACTTTTTAAGAGGGAGGTTCCATACAGTGTGGTACAAAAATGTAATATAGGCTGAGAACTCCTCTCCAAGGACCTCAAGAGGACTGCCTCATCTCTCACACCAGTTCTGCCAAGTTTGCTGTTTGAACACCAAGGAGGCTGGGTGTCTTGGATTGGTGGTGTTGTGTCCTAACCGACCACGTGTGAGATCAGTCCGCACGTGGTTGGGCGAAGAACCTGAGCTTCGCACACAGGAACAATAAATTGTCGGATCCTAGTCCCCGCCAATCAGGAGGCTAGGCTCCGGTGTTGGGTGTGTGTTGGGTGTGGTTGTCCCTTGGGAATAAAAGTCGGCCTGCGAGCTGGCTATTTTTGTCTTGTTCCTGCACTATCTAATAAACTTATAAGCTGATTTCACTACATCATGCATTGGACCCAGTATATTATAGGTGACACATACAACTTGGAGGGGGCTGCACTTTCAGAAATCCCCCTTTCTTCATAATTATTCAAGACACCAGAATCCTGACCTCTTTTGCCTCAAGTCAAGCTAAGGATAAAATATAGATATGTTAATCAAAGACTAGTGTGGATAGAATATAGATATGTTAATCAAAGACTGGTGTGGCACAGGTTTTTTCTTACAGATACAAATTACGGCCCATAAGATGGTGAACCATCTTATGCTTGCTTCCCTTCCTCCCCCCCCCCCGAAAACATATTCCTCCTTTTCTGAATAAGTAATATTTATTCAATCATTCAAAGAGGCAGTCATGTGGAAAAAGTTACACCATACTGAGCAAAACAAAGTATGAGTCCAGTGGCACCTTTAAGACCAGCAAAATTTATTTCCAGGTATAAACTTTTGTGTGCATGTGTACTTCTTCATATATATTGAAGCGGACTTCCTCAAGCCTTACGTATAGGTAGAGAGAAGGTGGAGGGTTAGTTGCCAGGAAGGGCTAATCGGAGTCAAGATGCATAAGTAACTGAGCCATAAGTATAGCTAAGATTGGATTAAAGCAGTTGTTAAGGACTGTAAATAGCAGCAAAAATAAAAGTTAACAAACAGATGCGAGAACTGAGTGACTTAGCATGTGTAGTGAGATAAGAACATGATACTCTGATCTGATACCATACTGAGTAGTTAGGGTGATTTAGCAATCCTAAACAGGTCTACTCAGAATCCCACTCAGGTCTGTTCAATGGGACTTAATCCCAGGAAAGTATTTGTAGGTTTGCACTAAGGATATAACCATGTGCCATAGCTTTCCTCCCAAGGAGCAGGTGTCTTTTAATTTCATGGCTGCAGTCACCATCTGCAGTGATCTTGGATCCCAGGAACGTGAATACTGTCACTGCTTCCATGACTTCCCCTTCTATTTGCCAAGGAGTGATGGGGCCGGATGCCATGATCTTAGTTTTTTGGATGTTGAGTTTCAAGCCAACTTTTGCTCTCTCCTCTTTCACCCTGAACAAGAGGCTCTTTAGGTCCTCTTCACTGTCTGCCATTAGAGTGGTATCGTCTGCATATCTGGGGTTATTGATGTTTTTCCCGGCAATCTTAATTCTGGTTTGTGATTCATCCAGGCTGGCATTTTGCATGATGTACTCTGCATATAAATTAAATAAGCAGGGTGACAATATACATCCTTGTTGTAAGTCTGTATGGTTAAAGCAATGGTATTCCCAGTAGTAATGTATGGCTGCGAGAGTTGGGCCATAAGGAAGGCCGAGCGCCGAAGAATAGATGCTTTCGAATTATGGTGCTGGAGAAGACTCTTGAGAGTCCCTTGGACTGCAAGGAGATCAAATCAGTGAATCCTAAAAGAAATCAACCCTGACAAGTTCCCTGGAAGGCCAGATACTGAAGCTGAAGCTCAAATAGTTTGGCCACCAAATGAGAAGGGAGCACTCACTGGAGAAGACCTTGATGCTGGGAAAGATTGAAGGTCAAAGAAGAAGGGGATGGCAAAGGATCAGATGGTTAGACAGTGTCATAGATGCAACGAACATGAAATTGAGCAAACTTCAGAGGACGGCGGAAGACAGGAGGGCCTGGCGTGATGTGATCCATGGGGTCACAAAGAATCGGATTAAACTGTGTGACTGAACAACAACAAAAATAACCCTGTGCATATTTACTTGACAATAAGGACCACTGGACATAGTAGGACTAACTTCTGAGGCGACGTGCCTAGGATTGCACTGTAAAAGATGTCAATTATGTTGCCAGCCAGAAAAAGAAAAGGCCCCACACTATTCTTGAGTTTTTAACAAGGCAGGAAAAAGGTTTTCACATCATGGAGATGAATGTGTGTTGTCACAAGAGAAAATCTGCAGATTGGGCTGCTCTTAAAGGCACTGTAGTGTGAGGGACTGAGATGCAAAGGATCACCAAGTCTCCTGTCCCTTTATTAGTTGTGTAGAAAAGGGAATGTGGTCATTCCCCAGCTTGTCATGTGAGGGGTGCGAAAAACTGAAATTCTCTCTTCTACACAATCACTGAACATTCAAAAGGCTTCTGGTTACCTTATAGAGAAAATACTTTAAGAGCAAAGCTAGGATGCAGTTCTTTACTTTGACCCACTTTTAGTTCCTCAGAGGCAGTGTATAACATCTGCTAATTCAAAAGCGCTGCTCATTACATTCTCCTGACGTGTTATCTGAAGAAATGTGGTGTTGGTACAAGAACAGCAACACAGTTTTGGTTGCTAAATCATTTAATTTCCCTTGAAGCTTTTGTACTCCTAAATATACTATTTTCTTTCTGCTGAATTTCAGGTATTCACAGATACCTCTCTCTGTTTCTTGCAACACAAAATTCTCTCAAGACCGTATGATCATCCTGCAAAGAAAAAGTCTGTGGTCCTCCGCTGAATTACTTGAGACTAAATCCCATTGAGCTCAGTGGGAATTACTTCAGAGGAAACATGCTTTGGGATTATATTGAGCAATTCCTGACATTGACAGCTACAGCTCTGTTTACATTGAATGGGAATACTTTCCAACAGACAGTTTGTGATAATTCTGGGGAAACAGAACTCTCTAATATGAGTCCAATGTAAATCGTTCCCACTAGCTTCAGTGAAAGTAGACCCATGCACATGAAATAATATTACTTGGGTGGTTTAAGTGCACCTGTGATGGTTGTAATATGGAATTAGTAAACTACTATATTAGTACAAGTGTTTTGTTATTACATTTTTTCCTTTATGACAGTAAGAAGCTCCACTGATAGGAGCAAATATATGAAACCTGTTTATAATAGTAGTGTTCAGATAGTCTTTGAAGAATGTCAGTTTTTTATTTTTATTTTTTGTGTGTGATTTTCAAGCTTCTTGCAAGCAGTCACAGGTTTATTAAGGAGAGACTTCCCTTACTTCCATGTCATGATTGGCCTACAGTCCTAAGGACACTCTTCCTGGGAATGAGTCCCATTGACTAAATCAGGCCTTACTTCCGTGTAGACCTGCCAAGGGCTATTCCCTGAGGCTACTTTGTGGGCCTAAGATAGGGCCTTAACTTGTTTCTCCCCAAACTACTGTCACAAGCAGGGCTCCAGATATACTGCATTGGAAGAAGGGCAGGCAACAGGAACAGGAGAGAAAAGTTGCAGCACCTTCTACCACTTAGCATCCTTATAACCAAGTTTGGTGTAGTGGTTTGGTGTAGTGGTTAAGTGCGCGGGCTCTAATCTGGGAGAACCGGGTTTGATTCCCCACTCCTCCACATGCAGCCGCTGGATGACCTTGGGCAAGCCATAGTTCTGTCAGAGCTGTTCTTGAAAAGAGCAGTTTCTGTCAGAGCTCTCTCAGCCCCACCTACCTCACACGGTGTCTGTTGTGGGGAGGAGAAGGGAAAGGAGTTTGTAAGCCGCTCTGAGACTCTGAGTGAAGGGCAGTGTATAAATCCAATCTCCTCCTCTCCTCCTCCTCTACCTTGG